CTTAACTATATATATTGTTAAATTCAAATTTGTTCGGTAGACCGTGCCCAAGAAATAAAACACTGAACCGAAGAAAGGTGGTTGAGAGGAAGAAAAAAGGAGAGAGAAGGAGAAGAGGACTACTTCCCCCGATAGGAGGAAAAATGGGGTGTTCCAGGGCTCCTGGACCCATTTTATTCCATCAAACCAGTTATTTCAAATGAGTGAAGCCAAAAGCAATGTTTTAAGGCGTTTTAGTTGTTATTGGGCGAGGCAATCGCAATCATGTCCTTCATATTATCTGTATTCATTGTCCACTTATTGAAGTCATCATCAAGCTTAATCTTAGGTGCATTCATAATTTTTTCTCCTTAACATTGTTGCATAAATTACAAACACAAACAAAATAACATTCATAAATATTTAGGATATTTTTTCTATAAGAAATTAAGAATGCATATTTAATGCATATGCATATTTATGTAAAAAAAATTAAATGTAAATATGAAACTTGTTCTTTCATTCATCTTCCTTTTCCTGTGAGAATGTGATATAAAAATGTCATTTCTTCCTTGTGTATTATTTTGTGATTCTTCATTTGCATTTATCATGGGCATATTTCTGATTACATGAACATCAAAGACCTGTTCTTCTTCATTCATCCAAGAAGTTTCCTGTGAAAGCACTAGATCTTCTTTCTCAACAATCCCCTCATCATCAGAGTCTATATCATTTATCAGTATTGGATCAAAATATTGTCTTCTTCTTATACTTCTCTCTCTCAATCTAGTATTGTATCTTACATATACTAGAGGATTCAATCTCTTGTGCTCCAACCTATTCCTCTTCTTAGTATAAATCTAAGATAAAAAAATATTATATTTAAAAGGTGATTATGAAATCAAAAAGTAATAATTTTAACTTTTAAGAAATAAAAAAATTATTGTCGATTCAAAACTGCTCCAATTTCTTTCACACCTGATGAACTGCATGTGAGGATAAGAACTCAAATCACAAAATTCATGAACTCAAGTGTTTTCCCACCAAATCTCATCCACCAATAAATAGGAGATCTCAACTTTTTTGAATCCATAGCAACTCTACTCCCAAAGTCTCCTCGTAAGTTATTACACAAGTCCAGTTGAATATCAGCTCTATGCTAATCTTTATAGTTCAAAATTCTTTCCATACAAGCAATTTACCCTTCTTTTACCACATCATCATTAGAAAAATTATTCTCAAAGCGAAATTGAGGACTTAAATAACAACCAATTGCATGTAGTGCTTAACGAAGTTGGATTTCCCATCTTGCATCAATTTTTCTCCAAATAGGTTGATACTTCTTTTCATTATGCCCACAATTAAAAGTATTTTTTTCTTTTGCTGAATCTATTAACAAGTAAATATAACTCATGGTTGACCTTCTTTTGAGTCAACCTCTCTTAGAATATTTACAAGCGGCACAACACTTTTGGTACAATAAGCAAGATGACCCAGAAAATGTGGATTAAACAAAAATAATAGTTCAAAATTTTATGTCTTCTGTCTTCTGTGCACATTGCCTGAAGTGGTTGCTTCTGTTTGTAAATGTTTTGACGGCCAAATATGTCGTAGCAAACTGTATGATGGTTGGACGAACAAGTTCCCTCTCCTTTGTAAAGATCTCATTAAGCCTAGAACTCATGTGTGACCATAAATGAATTTTACAACTTAATTTCTTTTTGCAACTGTGCTATCATGAATCTTCAACTTTCCATTGAATTCTAACATTATATCAATACAATGCGCTGCACATGGTGTCTAATAAACATGTCTTTTTCCAATTTTTTCACCCACATTCACATAGTTTAACTCATTATCTGTTATAGTTTGCACCACATTTTTTTCTCTCACGTTTTCAATCATGTCATCCAAATAAGCAAATAGTAAATCACAACTTTTTATAGCATTAGAAGCATCCATAATTTTAAGAAAAAAAGTTTCATCTGGACTATTCATAAGAAAATTAATCAAAGTTCTACATTTTCCATCTGTTCAACTGTCTGACATAATCGAGCACTCATATTTACTCCATGTCTTTTTATGCTCATCTAACATGTTATTGATTGTAGCAACCTCATATTTGAGTATCCAAGTCTCAATTCATGCATTGTAGGTGGAGCAAACCCAGATCCAAAATTAGCAACTAAGTCCCACTATTCAACCGGTAAGTTTTCGGATCTCTTAGTGTTCGAGGGGGGGGGGGGGGGGGGGGGTGCTTAGATTTTCTTAGGGTTTTATTTTATGCCCTCCGTTGGTCAATAAATATTCGAGAAAATTGCCAGTCGAGGATCCGTATGTACACTTCAAGGAATTTAATCTCATGCTAAATTTTGTAAGTGTTTGAAAAATTTCTTTTAAGTCTTTAATGTGTTGTTTGACCGAATGACTCTTAACTAATACATTGTCCACGCACACTTCAATATTTTTTTATTCATAAAAATTACATCCATAAGGCACCGGAATGTTGCCTCAGCATTTTTTCGCCTAAAAGACATTACATTATAACAGTAAATTCCTTTATTAGTAATAAAAGAAATTTGTTCTGTCAGCCAAAGTTGTGAAATTGGCTCAAAGATCATAAATCGCTTGAAAATTGGATCGAATTTTAGCTATGATCAAACTCGAATAGAACCATTTGAGCCGAGCTACGAGCCAAATTAAATGATCAAATTTATTTTAAATTGATTTAGATCCGCCCTCGACTCGAATTGGGATCGGATTATAATCTAAATAAATTTTACGTATTTACATATTTAACACCTAAACTTTTAGTTTTACAAGCATAACACATTTCAGACTCGGTTGGCGAGGGATTTTTTGCTTGAGCGGAGTAACAGGGGTTTGAATCACCTCTTTTCACAAAAAAATTTCATTTTTTTTCTGGGGACTGGTCGGACGAGCCAAGGCGGGTTCGAGCCAGACCTACCTGGATCATGACCAAAAATGACATTCGAGCCAACTCATTTACATTTCAAGCCGGCTCGAAAATCAGATTAATCCACACTGGATCAGATCGAAATTTAGTAGGATCGGTCCACAATCTGATTTTGATCTGATTTCAAGGATTTCGATTCGATTTCAAGCCGGTCATGGATCGACCCGAAATTGGATCCTTCACACCCCTAGTGTCAGCTGAGTGCAATTTGATTTGGTGGAATCCGAAGAAGGCATCCAAAATACTTAGAACAGAATGGTCGGCCACTGAATCTACCAAAGCATCAATCCTCGATAGAGGGTAACTGTCTTTCGGACAGGCTGAATTTAAGTTTGTGAAATCAATACACATCCTCCACTTGTCATTGGCCTTCTATATCATCAAAACGTTAAAAATCAAGGTGGGGTACTGCTCTTGGATGTACCCAACGTCTTTTAGTTTATGTACCTCCTCCGAGATGGGTCCAGCTAGCGTCATTGCCAAGGTCCTGATCTTTTGCTTCATCGGTCAAATGGATGCATCGGCGTTCAACCGACGACATGCTGCGTAAACCAATATTCCTAGCATTTCCGCCGCAAACCTTGCCAAAACATCTCGGTTCTTCTGAAGGATCTAGTTCAACTAATCTATGTGTCTTGTATCAATAGCCTCACTGATTAGAAAATATTTACTCGATTCTCCATAGATGGCGGGGATCACCAAGGTAGTCTCATTGGTCTCGAGACCCCCTCCTCTTAAGTTCTAGATTTCCAGTGGGTCATGTTCCATATTGTCGATGGCCCGAAGGTAGCAGACCCGTGATTGTTCCAAGTTTTTCCTGATTGTGATGATTTCTCCATCTCCTAAAAATTTCATTGCAACATGGTAAGTAGAGACTACAGCCCTGAAGCTGTTTAGAAGTAGGCAACCGATGTTGGCATTGTAGGTTGATGGAGAATCCACCACAAGGAAAACCTCCGTGGAGGTGAATTACTTCTCATTTTCTCCCTAGTTGACTGCAACTCCAATTACTCCAAGCGCCTCCTTTCAATCGGCCAAAACACCGTATAATGGACTAGCTGGGGCGACCAATCGATTGGTTGATAGGCTCAGTTTGTTAAAAAAAGATTTATACAGCACGTTGACGGAATTTCCTGTGTTCATCAGGATACTCCCCACCTAATAGTTGTTGAGCATGGTTGTCACGAGGATCGTGTCATTATACGGATTCCCCTTCAGGGGCAAGTTTGTGTTCTTAGAGGACGGTTCTTTGTCCTCGAAGCAAAAGTAGCGGCGTAGAATTCCCCTG